CTTGGGCATGCTCCTCACAGTTTTAAATGCCCATAAATGTCTCCTGTTAATATTCATATATTACATAATAACTTTATATTTGATATTTGTTTACCTTGAGATCCCTGTGTATTACAGGAGGTTTAGCTTGATGAAGCTGTGCTACGGCTTCACAGGTATCAGAAAAGATCTTTAACACTAGCGATTCATTGAAGCCATCATTGATACGTTCATTCATTAGCTGAACAACATGTCCATCTAAAACATGCAGGATGTGTTCAATACATGTATATTATTATCCATAATTGAGTAAAACTGTTTCAAGATTTAGAGTGCCTTCACAATAAGCACTTGAAAATAAACGTCTGCTTGTTTTCCTAAATAAAAGGCTATCGCATTAAACCATCTCCAATTCTACTAAGTTAAAATTAGGTTTTATAATCTTTAACACTAGCGATTCATTGAAGCCATYATTGATACGTTCATTCRTCAGCTGAACAACATGTCCAWCTAAAACATACAGGATGTCTTTAATACATGTATATTATTATCCATAATTGAGTAAAACTGTTTCAAGATTTAGAGTGCCTTCACAATAAGCACTTGAAAATAAATGTCTGCTTGTTTTCCTAAAGACTATCACATAAAGCGTCTCCAATTCTAGTTAAAATTAGGTTTTATTCGGTACCTTTGCAATATTCCATCAAAATCAACACTTCAAAAATCTCTTCCTTGATTTGATTAATAGAGAAATYCAGAAATRAAATAGTGTTTTTGTGACCACTGACAAGTTTCTGTGGAAAAAACAAAATGGAATAAAAATGGAATAATTCTACCCACACTGTATAAATGATTATAAAATTTTGGATACATGTATATAACACGCTGCCATTCTGATTGGCTGACGACCGTGTTTATAGCAGAGGACAGAGACATGGCTTACTGGCAAAATTTGTTTTTCTCAAAAAACTTTTTGAAAAATGCAGAAAAATTTTATAAAAGAATTATAAAACAGCCACTTGTGTCTCTGTTCTCTGATAAAAACATGGTGCGAATTGAAAAGCACACACTAGAAGCAAGTGTTCCTAAGCTTGCTCTCATGTTTTTCAACTCCCACCATGTTTATATCAGAAGACAGAGACACACGTGCCGTTTTATATTTCTTGAATAAAACCCAAATCCATCCCTCGACTTAACTCAATACACTTGTGCTTACACAATTTATAAACTAAGGCAGATTTAACCAGACAGATTGTACAACTATACAAATCATGCAATGTAAATGCCCCTACAACTTGCCTACGACTGATACACACAACTCATGGTTTGTAGGGACCAAATTCCTACAACTAGTTGAAGGGAAATGATACAATGTTTTCCAAAACCAGAGCTACAAGTAGAACTTGTATGACCAATGCCGTGTGTTAATAGTTTCATCATGCGCTTATGAATGGTACCTATGATATTTTGTAGGCAAATTATATACTACAGTTGGATATCAGAATCATGTCRTGTMAATCAGCCATAAGAGACATGTTGCAAAGACAAATAGATTCTTTTTTGCAGYTTTTATTCAAATATATCAAGCTTACCATAATATTTATTTCTTGTTTACAGATATCTAAGTCATGCTTGTTGTTGACTGAAACTCTTTTCAAGGCATATCGTCTGCCATTTGTAGCTTTSACAAGGAGAACAACAGCAAACCCACCTGTTAAAAAACAATGTATTA